AGAATGGGAAATAGAAATTTCAAGTGCCTATGATAATCATCCTGTACTGACACTGTATTCTGTAAACTACAAACTTCCATTTGGAGCTATTTTATCAAATGCATCATTATGTTCATGAAGGAGAAAAGGCAAGCAGTCACATTGCCATCATTCAAGGATGATCCTACTCCGTGAAGTATATTAACTAAGCTATTGACAGAAATACTTACTGAATATTCTGAACTAATTGCTGGCAAATAATTTTAGAACTTGAAAATGAGGACACATTTACACACACATTACCATTATATGTGGTTTTTCATTGGAATAGCCAAACAACTCAGGATATGACACTGATGTGGCTGTAAAAATCCACATCAGCAGGAGGCATTTTTACAGACTTGTTTTTGAATACCAACTAGCTTGCAGAAGAATGGCAATTTAGTTTTTAAGGTACTCAAGTAAATTTGAAAGTTAAATCCACATTTATTTCTGCCTATTTTTATTTTACACTCATCGGCAGCTTGTTTTATGAAAGGTATTCTGATTCTTCTTAAGGAAAAGAACATTTTAAAAAATATGAGGATAACTTTATTAGTTTGTAGAAAGTTATTCTGTTGCTGGATTAAACTCTGTTAAAAAAATTAACAAAGAAACTAAGATATATTTAGGGTATTGTTGACATTGTGGTTTTGTCATAACTTTATAATTTTGTTTCACAATACATTCAGTCCTCTGCCAATTAATAATGAGAAGTTAACTTTACAAGTATTTGAAATTATGATTTAGTCTAGGGTTGTTAAGAGTTAGTTTACTTAGAAGTATATAGTTATCTGTGCTTGCCTTTTGGGCTCTTGGGAAATAAAAGCTTTTCCAATCAAAGTCTCATATAATTGATTATGTTTATTTTATTTTTTGTTTCTGCTACATATATAAATATTTAAAGGAAATACAATAATAAAGAACTAAATAATGAACTGCCACCCCCAATTCCACAAAGCTTTACTACAACATAAGGATAAAAGCACTGTGGAGAAACCTATGTGGGAGCTATAGGTCCAGAATTCAGCAAAGGACAGTTATGTATGTTCCTTCACCAGTGAAGATTCCTTCTCTGCTCTGTAAGCTGCATTGGTATCCATATGCTTCCTGGGTTAAATTAAGGTTCTGTTAATGATTTGTAAGGCCCTTCCTTAGCATAGATTATTTGAGGGACCTCTCCTTCCCTTCTCAATTACGTCTATCCTTCCCATTACATGCAACAAAACAGGCATACTGTGAATCACATCAGTCAGGGAATCAGGCAGACTCATTTGCCATCTGTCATCTCCACAGTTCCTGCCCATCTAGCTTCCAACTCAGAACAAATACAATTATTTTTATTCACAAAATGACTGGCCAAATGATCGTCGTTCCCCCCCCCCCCAGGAGTTAAATATTTTCAGTTGCTTCAATTTTTGATCATAATACTTAGTTTCTACTTTTATAAGCCTCATGGTCCTGAACTTAGTCCAGGTTGTTTGAAACTTTCTTAACCTGAAAGAATCAGATATAATATCTGAACTGAGGTCTGAGCAACACAAAAATAAAGTCATATAATTAACTCCAACAATTTAGAAACTGTGCTTTTTTCTTTAGCTCTGAAATGAGAAAGGCAGTTCCATGTAAATATTAGAATAGTTTGATAATGGAATCAATTACCAAGAGACGTGAAGCAAAGTCTGGGCAGGTATTTGTTGTCTGGATTTGGATACAGGCTAAGGGCTTTGAGGCAATATTCTAAATGCTCTCTCCCAACACCATGTTGCTATAACTTTAGTGACAGGTAACCCATACCCATGAAACTTTTCATGGGTGTATCAGAATCTTTGACGCTGTCCCAATGGATAGGAAAACATTGTCCTGAAAAATCACTCAGTTGGCTGATGGCCAGTTTATGAATTGTTACCTAATTATATCATTGTTGCCAGAAATATTATCAGTATTTCTGTGAAAAATAGAGCATATTTGCATACATGCTTCTCTATCCTATGGACCTATGTGAGACTTTAAAATTAAATTTTAATTTCATGTGGGACTTCAAAATAAAATGGTAGATTAATAATTCAGAAAATACATGTACATGTTTTCATTCATTGCAAAAAAAAATATTTAGAAGCATTTGCATAGCTTTGTGCAGCATATTTAGTTACATTTGGTTTGTTTGAGATTGGCTTAGCATGTGAGTATCTAGAATATCTTAAAGTGTCTTCTTTAAACCATGGTTTTAAATAAAATAGGTCTTAGTATGAGAAAAATAAATTACTGCATCCCAAGAGGGTTGTAAAATAAGCTAGAGAAGAAGGCTTTGATGCGAATATGCTTATATCGCTGCAATGATTACTACTTATTACTATTAAAAGTGGTACTATCCAATATCTTGCACTGGATCATCGCCAAAATAGTTGGACAATCATCAAGACATTTGATAGTTTAGCATTTTTCATCTTAGGAGTATGTAGCATGTGGCCATTGTATATATGTGTTTTGTGTGTGAGGGTATTTTTGTAGCTGAGTTTTCCTTGTTGCATGTACTTTCCTTCTGTGTTGCATGTACTTTCCTTTTTACATATTTTCATTGTATTTACTCTCCTAGGGATGTGATTATATTTTTCTGCTTTTTTATATGAGGAACATTTTGCACTCTGTCACTGTAGATAATCTCAAGGGATCACAATTTTTGCTCAGTTCTAGTAACTTTTATTGTTTCTGGTGAGGTGTATTATGTGACAGGAAATATATTAGAAAATCCATTGCTCTGCTATAAACATAACAAGCCTCTGCCACCTACATTGCAATTAATGCTAAAAATAGAAGAGTGTCTATGATAAGGCTATGACTTAAAGGGAATAAACTATTGTCCAAAGAACAAAAAATTATCTAGAAAGTTGGCAAAGTCATCTTTCACTGAGCTGTCATTTTACTGATTGCTGTTTCTGTGTGACTTGGATGAAATATTCATGCCTTTTGCTCTCTTCACTCCAAGCACTATTGATTTCTTGTATAAATGCTGCTATATTTAGGCTGGAGAATGTAGCTTGCTGCAATAGAAATTGAATAGCAGAATTGGAATTATGCTACCTGCTTTTCTTTTGATCTGGAACAATTATTTATAATTGAGGGTAATTCTTGTAACTTAAGGATTTGCAATTCTGTGATAAATTGTAAAACAAAAGCCAAAGATTGTATATTATGATTGAAGCAAGTATGGTTACCTGGGAAAATAAACTGCATTGAGCTTTACAATTGCACTTTCAGAAAAGAAATAATACTAATGGCAATACAAGCCACTATATTTTATATCTATTGCTAGGAAGTAGTGAGATGTTTACCATCTTCCATGACTCATATCTATATATATTGTCAATATATCATCCATTAATATATCATGCATTAAAGATATGCAAATAATAATAATAAGCTCACATTGTTGCTGCACATATGTTTTTTTAAAAAATCAGAAGATATAGCTATGTAATTCCATTTTGTGATCCATTCTTATTTCTTTGAACTAAGGGAGAGCTGAAAAGTGAACAAATACAGGAATGTTGTCTTAAAACCCAAACTGCATGTTGGTCCAAATACATGTTTTCTGATACACATATCAGGAAATGAGGCAAATCTGTAGTACATTTTTGTTTGAAGACCTCTTTGATATATTTGTATATAGTGCCCTCTTCTGGATAAAATGTAAACTAATCTGTTTTGCACCATGGGTAGTCTCATCAGGCTGTTCCTCTCCATCCACCATTAAAATCTTTACATAGAACTTTAATTCATATATTTGAATAAAAGTATTGTATACAGATATGTACATAGATATCAAACGATTATCATAAAAAGCTAGAGGTGTCACTAAAGCTACAATGTAACAATAGCTGCGTATTTTATATGGTATTGTTGTTATATTTTGCTATAAAGTGCAGCATAGTAACCAATATATGGCCATCCTACTAAGCAATAATTGGTAATCCCAAAGATATACAATTATAAGAGGATACTGCTAATACCTATATCCAGAGATCATGGCCATCTCTAATAAGAAGAACACTCATTGGGGATTTGTTGAGCATGCTTTGTGAATGCCCACAGCTTAAGAGACTTTACAAGCACAGTACTGTATTTATAAAGCATGTTCTGTACCATATATAAAATAGCTTTGCCTCTTGTAGTTTCATAGTTACCCATAGTATTTAAAAAATTAGTACACAAAACAGTACACAAAAACATAAGAATTATTCCTAAATTGCCCAATACTCTTTTTTTCTTATATTTACTATTTAATCAATTATCAGTGGATATTTAACTTAATCTTTCATAAAGGATATTGCAAACAAAAATATAATGCACAAGCAGAATATCATATAAAATAAATGAAACCACTTCCATGGAGTGAAGGTGAAAACTTTCATATTTAATACTGTATTTTCTTTAATAAGCTACCCTAAATTTAAAAGGAAAACAAAACCTATAATTTTTTTAATCAGAAGATTCAGACTGTAGAACAAAATGTGGCTCACATATAAGTTATTCTCTCCCCCTTAATATACTTGACACTGAAATCTGGATTGCCTGATATTATGAAAAGTATTTAATTTATGATAGCAAGCATCAAATGACATGAGTTATAAGAACCACTTAAAATCATCAGAAGTTTTTTTTTTTCTATCCATAGCACATTAATTTTAAATTAGTTTAACAAAAGCAGAAAAGCTTTGGGGTTTTACTAAAATCTGTGATAATAATAGTATCAAAATTTACTTTGGAAAGTTAAAAGGCTCTATTGATGGTATTCTCCAGTCTTACAGTCTTATCAAGAGGCCACAGAAGGACAACAACTGTTTAGTAGAGAGGAAGCAAAATCTTCATTTCATATATGCATAAAATTTAAATCTACTTCCCAACTTTTTTTTTCTTTTGCATTAGTGGATGTGAAATCAGAAATTCCTCTTGGATTAGAACAAGTCAGACCATTAGATTTGCGAACCGATATCAGGATGATGGCACCCATGATGGATCCCTTGATGCAGGAAAAGCAATTACAACAGGAATTAATCCTGATTCAACATCAGCAGCAGATTCAGAAACAGCTTTTGATAGCAGAATTTCAGAAACAGCATGAGAACCTGACACGACAGCACCAAGCACAGATTCAAGAGCACATAAAGGTAGCAGATTTTCTTACCTTTCAAAGTGAATCTGGAGGGGGAGGGGTTGGTTACTGTAGACATTGAATAGCAGTGATTGAGTTATTTCTCTTGTATATCAACATGGTACAGTATGTGATGAAAGTTTATATTAGTCCCTCGTTCTGCCATGTCTATCTGACTCTCACTTGATGCAGATATGCATGTAAGAGTAGCTATTTGCAATTACAGAGAAACAAGCTATTGGAAGACTAAGTAAAGTCAGCAAATTTGAGAGCACATTTGCCTCTCATAACGTATCAGGGTTAATTTTAGATATGAAAAATTTCCTTTGTTTAGAATGTAATGAACAAATTCAATTGGCAATATAGCAAACGAGAAAAAAAACAGCAAATGTTAAAGGTCCAGTTGTTTGAAAACTAACCTACTAGGAAAGCACTATACAATAAATATTTTAAGAGTGATTCAATTTTTAAGAGATTCAATCAGAACCTTAATAAAAAAGAAAATGTTGGCTGTCAACTGTCTGAATTTATTTTTAGTTAAGACTGATATCCTTTATATAAAAATAGCATTCTAAAATTTGTTAAACAATTGAGCATAAACAAGAATATCTAGCCATAATTTTTCTTGAAATAAATGGAACGAATTAGCTATCATTAGGAAATTATGATTTCTAGATGACCACTAGATGGTACCAAACAAATTCAAGAACAGAGTAATTCTTTGCTGCCATCTAGTAGTAATCCATATTGTTTTAGTTCAGATGGAGTAAACTTAATTATTGATAATCTAGTTTCTTTACTTTCAGAGGAATTATTTTTATCTAGAACAGAACATTTATTTAATTTATTATAAATAGTTTCATTCACATTTGTAAAGTTCATGCTTTCCAATTAATTAGAACATGATAATTATTTGGTTTTTGCATTTCATGACCTTTATAATTCAGAAATAGATTAATCTATAAAAATAAATTATATACATTTATTGCAAAAAGGAAAGCAGAAAATAGAATAGTGTGTTCAAAAACCTTGCACTTATTTCATGTGATCTTTTAATGAAAATATTTACAAATCAATGTCAAAATGGAGTAGAATAGAATTGTATTTTCTAACATTTTAAATATTATAGCACAGATTTCTCCAAATGTATGGATCAGCTTCCAGAATTGTAGCTGTAGCTATTCTACCTTGCGAATTCTAAGAGCTACTTTTTTATATTCACACAGTTGTGAAGTCCTTATTATGACCAATGCTACCATACAAATTGCACTTTCTCATGACTTTGTCTTTTTTACAAGTTACAAAAGGAACTCTTAGCCATTAAGCATCAACAGGAACTTCTTGAAAAAGAACAGAAACTTGAACAGCAGAGGCAAGAACAGGAATTAGAGAGACATCGCAGGGAGCAACGTCCACCAATCAAAAGCCGAGAAAGAAGCCGAGAAAGTAAGATCTGTTCAATCAGGCTAAAAGAGGACATTTAAGTTTTGTACACCTCTCCCACCAATCTTCATTATCCCTCTTTATAAAAATATGGCCTGACAATAATATTCTATACAGATTGCGTATATAATTCTCTAAAAATATATAATAATCCTATTTAAGTTCTATTTTATTGTATGTGCACATAAATACGGAAGTATACTCTGCACAGATTAGAGAGGACATGAAATATTCCTTCTATTGTTTCAGTTCCATAATTTGGATCTTTTGGCTTTTAATAATGTTTTTTTAATAATGTTTCTGTGGTTTTAAGGCAAATAAAATCTAAAAGAAAGACATTATTGGAATATGATACTCACTAGGGGGAGATAGATGCATATAAGTCTGCTCACAAAGGGAATGGAAGTAAAGGCCAAATATTTCAGTATTTCACAATGCTACTTATAGAAGGAAACAAATTATAACATCAAATGCCTTCAGTTTCCCTCTGGAATTTCTCCTTGATAATGTATTGTGTGCCAATATTGAGAAAAATTGATAATTTTATTGCATTCTTTCTATATGCTTTCCTTTTAGAGGGCAATTGTATAAATTTAGCAGTAGCATAATATTGTGTTGGATTTTGAAAGAAGATTCTTCTTCTGCTACTTCACTTACAATAATAAAACACATCTTACAGAGTATGCCCTCTTTTTGTTTATACTAAGCTTATAATAACATATACTTCATACTTTCATTTGTTGTGACTGTAGCAGTATTAGTCAGCTTAATGCATGCTTATTGCTCTTTAATATAAAGAATTAGACTTTGAAAGTAATGATACATGAAACCATTCTTTGGTCTCTATTAGGAATTTGGTCCATAATCAGTACATTATATATAGCATTTCCACAAAAATATTAGTTATGAACATTGCACAGTTCATCAGTTGCAAACTAAAATTGTTTAAAATCATACTTCTATAGGCATTACAGGAAAACTATATAAGAAAATAGTCTGGAGTTTCATTCTAGAGTAGTCAATCATCTTGCTCTAGAGTTTAAAGCAAGGGTAGGAAATAGTTATGGTGGAGATATCATGTTTTTAAAAATATTTTTAGCTTCTCAGGGTGCTTCCAGTGATGCCATTTAAGGGAGGAGACTAAAACTTTGCATATATTTTACATGGTGGGAATTGAATGTGGAAATAGCTGCAGTTTGCCTCACAGATGGAAATAGGTTGTGATGAGGCCAAATATTGTCATCTGGCAATAGGTTGCCTCCTCTGATTTAAATAATCAAGAGATCAGTTATGGTTAAAAAGAAAAAGGCAATAGCTGCATAAAATAATTCCTGTTGGGAATGCTTCCTTTAATGCTAGAAAACATCTGCATTCATCACTGTTCAGATCACAAAACCAAGAGTGAACCCATATCTGATGTTGCTTATTTGTTAGATTTATATAATGTCTTCTTCAGGGGGGTTCAGGATGGAATACACAGTTCTTTTCTCTCAGTTTTTTCCCCAACAACAGCTGTGTAAGTGATGACTAAGACTGTCTGATCTAAAATCAGCCCTTGAGGTACCATGGTTGAAACCAGATTTAAATTTGGGATTCCTTAGTCTTAGTCCATTTCCATTAAGTATTACATCACACTGGTTTTATTTTCCTTTATTGTATTACTTGGTTTCAGTGAAGCTAAAAGATACGCTATACAATTTTAATCTACTTTGTTCCTCTTGCCATTATTTTATTTCTTTTGTTCTGCCATAGTAATTGCTCATATTAATTACTCATAATTAGTTTTTTTAGATACTTATTTGGATTACAATCAAAACTAGAAAGCTGCAATGGAATGCTTGGGCACATATGAATGGAATTATAAACAAATGCTATATGTTTTAGGAGCAGTCGCCAGTCCTGAAGTGAAGCAAAAACTTCAAGAGTTCCTGCTGAGTAAATCAGTAGCAAAAGATTCGCTCTCTAATGGAAAGAATCATTCCACTAGCCGGCGCCCCAAGCTCTGGCACACGTATGTTTATCCTTTTGTATCTTATTGGTATCTAATAAAAAGACTATTCTTCATCAGGAATAAAGTGAATTTTACCATATACTATTCAGTATAAAAGAGGGAGGAGGTACTGCATCTTCCTTACTTTTCCCTTCTATGCCACATAAACCAGCCTCTCTTTTTTTAATTAAATTCAGATGTGTCCTATGAATACAGTACTTTTGATATAAAAGTCAACTACCAGTCCCATTAGTTTCCTTTAATTCTCTTGAATTAAGATGGAATAATTATGTTCTATCAATACAGTGGCATTTTTTGTCTAAATGGAAATTATTTTGTATGTTTTTAAGGAAAACTTTCATGATGATATTAGTGATGATGATGATGATTGTAGTCAATGTACAGGGGCTAATAGTTTAGCAAGTATTATCATAAATTGTCTGTTCACAGAAGGAAGGGGGGCAAGGACCCCCCTTGTGGGGCAAGGACCAAAGCAAAAGGCTGCCACTCCCTCTAGAGGGTATTACTCCTGCTGCTAAAATTTAAAAGGGTTTTAGATATCTGCCCTTTTCATGCAAGCTTTGATTTTAAAAAGTCAAAACAATAAAATTAAAATCAAGTAGGAGGAACTCCCTTTTTCCAGAAGATGTATCTCCAGACCTATATCTCCTGAATTATTGAAAGATGCAGGTCTCTGGACATTTTGAGGATATGATGCAGCAAAATCTAATCTAATTTGTAGATTCATAAGCAATACTAATCAATAATAACTACTTTTCTATAGGGCTGCCCATCATACCTCATTGGATCAAGCTTCTCCTCCCCTTTGTGGGACATCTCCTTCATATAAATACACATTGCCAGGGGCAAAAGATGTCAAAGATGACTTTCCACTCCGCAAAACTGGTGAGCATATTAAAATGATTTTAAATGCCAATTTAATTCTATAACCAAATGAATTTTCATCTAATCATAATATATTAATATGTAATATTTGATTTGGGTTTAGCTAAAACATAATTATATATGATATATGGGAATCTTGTTTTCCATTTTCATAACAGTTGCTGATTATGATTACATGGGTGGACGAGGTTATGATGATGATGATGAGGAGGAGGAGGATAGTGGTGATGGAGGAGGAGGAGAATGGTGATGATATTTTATCCAACATTTAAAATAGATATTTTAGTGAGGTCAAGGCAACAAAGAAGCCTCCTATTTTTCCCACAACAGTAATCCTATGAGGTCAGATGGACTGAGAAAGTATGAATGGCATAAAGTTATCCAATTGGCTTTCATACCTAAGAGGTCTAGAATTCTTGTCCATTACTACCTCTCACTCTGCATTATTCTTTTGCAAATACTATAGCCAATGATTGATTGAAAAACGTATTACAGTTGAAACATCTTGGTGTTTAAGACTTTAAAGAGGCTTTGCAATAGAGTAGCTGGATGGGTCTAAATAATTCAATGTGTTATGTTAAAAAAAACCCTACTAAATTTTAAATTAATAGTTTCAAGCATAGATTGAACCGTAGAAAGCATGAGGCCCCTATATGCTTCAAAATAATGAAAAAAATGCTTTGAACAGCACCTCTCTGCTATTAATTAAAGCAATGTTTCAGCATAAACTTGAAAAAAGTATGTTTTGGTTTTCAGAAGTCAGCTCATTAAAGCAATTCCTAAAGTATGGGGGTCTTTTTTCAAGCTGATGTGTAAGTCTGAAAAAGGAAGTGGCTGCTTTAATGAAAAGCAGAGAAGTGCCATTCTTTCATAAGTGCAAGGTCCAAAGGATTTAAAAATTATTTCTGAAAGAAATGTCATGTCCATGGATATTTCAATTTTCTAAAGAATATTTTTTCGAGTAGATTTATGAACTGTTCAGTTAATAAGTCTAATATCCAAATTAAATAGCTGTTTTGAAATTCTATTTCAAACTCTGTTTTTAACAATATTGTATATATACAAAAATATTAAAAACTAAAAGGATTTCCTAAAAGCTACTTTTATTATCTTTTCCCTTATTTCAATATAGTGATCCTTTAAAATGTTAGATATGTGTGTGTGCGTGCGTGCGTATGTGTGTGTGTGTGATTTGCTTTCCCATTTTAAAAAGCTCCTTTGAAAGGCATTATCAATATTTAAGAGGTATAACAGTGTTGATTGGTAAAGTTAAACATTTTCAAATATTTTAACAGTATTGTTCTGTATTGCAGCTGTTAATACTCTTACAGCTCCATGGGGGTTTCAAAATATTCTTTAATTCAATTCTCATTGTCTATATATGAGCTACAGCATAATTAAAAACAGATGTTTTCTATACATTATTCCAAATATTTGGGCACACCACACGTTAGCTGCAGAGAGACTACACAACTATAGATTCTTTTTAAAAACCCAGGGGTGAGAGAAAAGAAGAATGAACTCATTTTATTTCTTTTTTTTAAATCTGTAATCAATGCAGTTGTGTGCAGAATGTTAGCATAGTAACTACTTTTTAAAGAAAATAATGTTTTTTCCATCACAGTTTTATCATTTGGTTGCCATTCTACATAGATTTTGTTTAAATAATACGCACTAATACCTAATTGGAGAGGGACTAATTTCAGCCCTCAGCAACATATTCACATTCAGCTTCTAATAAGTACTTGACAGTTTTAGAGGAAAAACAACCGGAACTGGGATGACACAAGTGAAATGACCCTAAACTGATCAGGGTGGCTACAGGGCATCCCTTAGGCAAAGGGGACATTCTGGAGCCTACTGCATCCTCATGGGACCATTCCTGACAAAGCTGTTCCATGAAACATTCACAGAGTAAGGGCGAAAGAGAGAAGCAGGTTCTTTTTTGGCAAATGTTTGACCTTTGTCACAAGAGTGAATTTTTTCCTCTTTATCCTTTTCTTTGAGTTATGAATGGTGAGTGTCACTTGTTTTGGATTTAACCAATCAGTATAGGCTTTTCATCTAATTTTGAAGAAGTTGCTTCATCAGCATTAGGCTTTGTTTTGTCTGAGAAAACAAGGAATCTCTGTTCTTACCTCTAACTATGTATCTCAAATTACATGTTTACGAATTCAAAACAGAATATATGAGTTAAAATGTCTATTACTGTATTTAAAAAGTTTGGTTATTGATTCTCTTCCTTGTTTTGTACAATTGCCAATTGAAACCAAGGAGGCAAAATTGATAGTTTGCAAATGTTGCCTGCATTTGAAGTGTTTGTACAGATAGAAAAAAAAGTTCTATTATATAGCTGAATTGAAAGATAGGGAATCATCTTGGGGAAATAAGTAATCTCCAGACTATTTCTAAATAAACCGAAGCTTAGTTGTAACAAATAGATTCTATGAATACAAGAAAAATCAATAGGTACCAGGTAACTCCATATTTGAAGGTAATGAGGGCAGACAGTAGTGAGATTACAGAATATATATGTAGAGCAGGGCTGTCAAACTGGCGGCCTGTGAGCCGGATGCATTATGTGCAGGCCATGCCCATCCCAGCTCCACACAGGCAAAGAAACATTATGATACATCATGATACGTCACATGACGCGATCAGGTTTGACACCCGTGATGTTGAGGAGAAGGATGAATCACTGGACAAAACAAGTTGATGAAATTCAAATTATCCCCAATATGACATCAGATTTTTCAAAAATTCTTTTTTCAAAATTTCAATATTGCATCAAAGCCAGCTTTCAGCTGTAAAATAGTATGTGAGTTCTGCTGCTTTATCATTTATAAAAGTTCACTTATTGAACTTTTATAAATTGATTACTGATTACACTAGTCTACAAGGAGAAAGTCTCAGAAATGAAAGTAGCTTAATTTTACCAGAATTAGGTCACTAATAAAAAGAAAATTAAGTTCTGAATATTAATTGGCTCCAGTTTCTAAGATATAGCTTCAGGTCAAAATTGCATCAAAATAATTCAAAATTATGAGGGGGATGTGTGATTATGCTCCGTAACGTTTCTGCAAAATGTGATACAGAAATGAGAATGGTGCCACACCAATCATTATAAATTTATCTTTTTATTAATACCAATAACATAACTTTCCATTCATTTATTGGTTTTTCATGTAACATTTTCATGCTTTTTGCATGAAAAACTGACAAGCTCTAACATCAGATTACAAGGTTCCACTCTTGTAATCTGGAGCCCAGTAGCTCTGCCTTACTCTTAGGCCATTGATGGCGAACCTTTTAGAAACCGAGTGCCCAAACTGTAACCCAAAACCCACTTATTTATCGCTGGGTGCCAGGTGGGCGTGGCCCATTGGGTGGGTGTGGCTATGGTGGTCATGGCAGACTGGGTGGGTGTTGCCAAGGTGGGTGTGGTCATCTCGATGTTGCTCATGGGAAGGGATGCCTGTGGGGGCTGGGTAGGGTTGAGAGAGATCCAGGGGGTCTCTGGCAAGTGGGGCGGTAGGCAGGAGGCTCGTCCTGTGGGGTGAGACCAGGCGAGACAGGGTGGAGGTGCTATTGTTGCAGGGCAAGGCGAGGCAGGGGCCAGGGCGGCTGCTGCCTGACACCATCGGCCCCCACACACAGAGGCCAGAGAGCGCATGGGGGCCGACAGTGTCCGTCAGCAGCCACAGCCTGTCGGCCCCTTGACTGGCGCACTCTGGGGCTCCGCAGCCCACTGCCAGCAGTTCAGAGAAGCCACCTCTGAGCTGGATGGCCGGCCGACAGCTGAGGAGGCGATGCAGTGGGTCATGCCTGGGAAAAGGAGAGCATGCGAGCCAGGAGGGACAGACAGGGGGGAGGAAAACCAGCCGTGCTGGGATGCATCTGGCCACATGGGATCTCGGCAAGTTAGCGGGGGTCTGGTTGAAGAGGGACGGTTGCCATCTCTGGGGCATGGCACGCATGCCCACAGAGAGGGCTCTGAGTGCCGCCTCTGGCACGCGTGCCATAGGTTCGCCACCACTGTCTTAGGCAATTCCAAATCCCTGACCAGACCATTTAGTTCACTTTGTGAAATTAGATGTGGTTCAGGAGGAGCATACAGGGGGCTAAAGTTTGGTTTCCCTGACATCGACAGCCCCTGATCAGGTGCATTCTGTTCATTATCTTTATGATCATCTAAGTCTAGAGAGTAGGATTCTGGTGGATCTAGAATTGGCAAGTCCTCACCAAGGGGTCCAGGATGCTGTGGGGATTGAATGTTTGGATATTCCATGGTCCACTATTTCTTTCTTGAGATCCCTTTTGCAATTGACAGAACCATGTGAAAAGAACAAGCACTACTATGATTGGTGGGTTCCCTGCACACCATTGGAATTGCAAAAGGCATGGACTTTTTCTTGTTGTTTAGCCAATGACGCAGATAAGTTACACATTTAATGCAACAAATAATGAGGGGCCAAACTCTAGTCCTGATCCACTATTTTGCATCCAAATATAGGTGGTATGCCTTTTTTACCACTGCCTGCTGAACTTTTGAGGTGCAAATGCAACCTCATCACAAATATAGCAGAAGTTATCTGCATTGTTTACACAGTTTTGTGGCATCTTGGCTTCTGACGGAAAATATCACACAACTGTTCCTTGGAAATGTTAGGCAATAACACTTTCACAAGCCACCAAATGTAACTGTATGATGCGTAAATCTGACCAAGAAAAAATGAACCTTGCAATAAAAGAATAATAAATTACAGTTAGGTAATAATCTTTAAAGTGAAGATAAATTTATACACTTCCATGTGGTACCATTTTTACTGTTCTACCATACTTTGTCAAGAAGTTACAAGGCATTATGATAATTAGACACCTCCCTCCTTTGTAGGCAAATATACTCGCCTGTGTATAAATTTTTATTGTAAAATATCTTGAAAACTTTAGCCAACCAGCACCTTTATCACCTGTTTTCTAATTCATCTAATCAAAATATG